TAGAGGACACAGATAGGTCTGGTAAAGGACATCTAGAGGTCAAGTAAGGAGCACAGAGAGGTAAGTTAGAGGACACAGATAGGTCTGGTAAAGGACATCTAGAGGTCAAGTAAAGGGTACAAAGTGGTCAGATAGAGGACACAGATAGGTCTGGTAAAGGACATCTAGAGGTCAAGTAAAGGGTACAAAGTGGTCAGATAGAGGACACAGATAGGTCTGGTAAAGGACATCTAGAGGTCAAGTAAAGGGTACAGAGAGGTCAGATAGAGGACATAGATAGGTCTGGTAAAGGACATCTAGAGGTCAAGTAAGGAGCACAAAGAGGTCTCAGAGAGTAAAGTTAGAGGACACAGATAGGTCTGCTAAAGGACATCTAGAGGTCAAGTAAGGAGCACAGAGAGGTAAGATAGAGGACACAGATAGGTCTAGTAAAGGACATCTAGAGGTCAAGTAAAGGGTACAAAGAGGTAAGTTACAGGACAAAAATAGGTCTGGTAAAGGACATCTAAAGGTCAAGTAAATGGCACAGAGAGGTAAGATAAAGGACACAGATAGGTCTCAGAGAGGTAAGTTAGAGGACACAGATAGGTCTGGAAAAGGACATCTAGAGGTCAAGTAAAGGGTACAGAGAGGTCAGTTAGAGGACACAGATAGGTCTGGTAAAGGACATCTAGAGGGCAAGTAAAGGGCACAGAGAGGTAAGTTAGAGGACACGGATAGGTCTCAGAGAGGAAAGTTAGAGGACACAGATAGGTCTGCTAAAGGATATCTAGAGGTCAAGTAACTAAAGGGTACAGAGAGGTCAGTTAGAGGACACAGATAGGTGTGGTAAAGGACATCTAGAGGTCAAGTAAAGGGTACAGAGAGGTTAGTTAGAGGACACAGAAAGGTCTGGTAAAGGACATCTAGAGGTCAAGTAAAGGGCACAGAGAGGTCAGTTAGAGGGTAAAGATAGCTCAGATAAAAATCAGTAAGGTAAAGGACAAAGAAATATAAGGACAAAAAGAGAGGTTAGGTAGAGAAAAGTTTGGGCAAAAAGATATTAGTAAAGGCAAAGAGAGGTTGGGCAAAAGTGATCTGTTAGGGAAAAGATAGATGAGACCGTGAGAAAAAGAGATGATTGAAATTATACAGCCAGGTGTAGTAGTGATGAGAGTAAAGAGTAAGGTCACATGGAGGTGAGTGAGAGGGTAAGAGGAGTGGTTTGTTATTTCATTTGTTAACATTTTATTTTCATTTTTATTTGTATTTGTTTCAGACAAAGAATTAACGATCATACAGCTGGACTGAGACGACCCAGAACCTACAAAACTACTTGCTCACTTCCGTCTGTGATATGTTTGAATGATATTGTTAAAGTACCAAACGTTAACATCAGCCTCTCTATCAGTAAGGTCAGCCTCTCTATTAGTAAGGTCAGCCTCTCTATCAGTAACGTCAGCCTCTCTATCAGTAAGGTCAGCCTCTCTATCAGTAACGTCAGTCTCTCTATCCGTAACGTCAGCCTCTCTATCAGTAAGGTCAGCCTCTCTATCAGTACACATGTTGTGGGCATCATGACAACCGGGAAAAGGTTAGCAATTAATAGGTACAGAGCCAATAAAATCTCACATCAATTTTTTTAAACATTCCAGGTCGGCACCACATTCCTGATAGGTTGTCACTACTTATCTGATCTGATAGGTTGTCACCACTTACCTGATAGGTTGGCATCACTTACCTGATCTGATAGGTTGTCACCACTTACCTGATCTGATAGGTTGTCACCACTTACCTAATATGTTGTCACCACTTACCTGATAGGTTGGCATCACTTACCTGATCTGATAGGTTGTCACCACTTATCTGATCTGATAGGTTGTCACCACTTACCTGATCTGATAGGTTGCCACAGCTTACCTGATAAGTTGGCATCACTTACCTGATCTGATAGGTTGTCACCACTGATCTGATCTGATAGCTTGTCTCCCCTGACCTGATAGGTTGTCACAACTTACCTGATAGGTTGTCACCACTTACCTGATAGGTTGGCATCACTTACCTGATCTGATATGATGTCACCACTTACCTGATAGGTTGTCACAACTTACCTGATAGGTTGGCATCACTTACCTGATCTGAGATGTTGTCACCACTTACCTGATAGGTTGTCACAACTTACCTGATAGGTTGGCACCACTTACCTGATAGGTTGGCACCACTTACCTGATAGCTAGGTTGTCACCACTTACCTGATAGGTTGGCACCACTTACCTGATAGATTGGCACCACTTACCTGATAGCTAGGTTGGCACCACTTACCTGATAGGTTGTCACAACTTACCTGATAGGTTGTCACCACTTACCTGATAGGTTGTCACCACTTACCTGATAGGTTGGCACCACTTACTTGATAGCTAGGTTGGCACCACCTACCTGATAGCTAGGTTGGCACCACTTACATTGTTGAGACATGTAAATAATTCTCCGCCGACACAGGCATGCCATTTCGATTTATATGTAAAAAATAATTTTTGCTTTTAGATTTTACAACTTTTCCTTAGAAAATAGCTGTCAGTTTAAAAAAGAAAATGTTGTTTCTTTCCACTCTGTTTCATTGAATACAAAAAATTGAAAAGAAATGTTTTACTTGATTTTCGCTAATTTTAAGTGGTAATTATTTTTCCATGTTTGTCTTTAATATATTTACCCACATGTCATCCTGCTTTGTGAAAGTATAGCTGGGAGTGGTCAGCATCATTGCTGTGTTGGGTAGATACATAGAATAAAGCTGTAACAGTAAAATTGACAGAAGTTTGTGTACTTCTGACGGAGTATGATTGTGTACTTTATGAGCAAGTATGCTTGTTAACTTCTGACGGAGTATGATTGTGTACTTTATGAGCAAGTATGCTTGTTAACTTCTGAGGGAATATGATTGGGGCTTAGAAGAAATTAACAAAACTAAATAGTATGAAGCTGAATGTGTCTTCAGACCTGGAGCTGAAGATATCTTTTGACTAAAAAGTCTGAAACTGTATGTGTCTTCAGACCTGGAGCTGAAGGTATCTTTTGACTAAATAGTCTGAAGCTGTATGTGTCTTCTGACTGGAGCTGAAGGTATCTTTTGACTAAATAGTCTGAAACTGTATGAATCTTCAGACCTGGAGCTGAAGGTATCTTTTGACTAAATAGTCTGAAGCTGTATGTGTCTTCAGACTGGAGTTGAAGATATTTTTTGACTAAATAGTATGAAGCTGTATGTGTCTTCCGACCTGGAGCTGAAGGTATCTTTTGACTCAATAGTCTGAAGCTGTATGTGTCTTTAGACTGGAGCTGAAGATATCTTTTGACTAAATAGTATGAAGCTGTATGTGTCTTCAGACCTGGAGCTGAAGGTATCTTTTGACTAAATAGTCTGAAGTTGTATGTGTCTTCAGACTGGAGCTGAAGGAGTCTTTTGACTAAATAGTCTGAAGCTGTATGTGTCTTCAGACTGGAGTTGAAGATATCTTTTGACTAAATAGTATGAAGCTGTATGTGTCTTCAGACCTGGAGCTGAAGGTATCTTTTGACTCAATAGTCTGAAGCTGTATGTGTCTTTAGACTGGAGCTGAAGATATCTTTTGACTAAATAGTATGAAGCTGAATGTGTCTTCAGACCTGGAGCTGAAGGTATCTTTTGACTAAATAGTCTGAAGTTGTATGTGTCTTCTGACTGGAGCTGAATGAGTCTTTTGACTAAATAGTCTGAAGCTGTATGTGTCTTCTGACTGGAGTTGAAGATATCTTTTGACTAAATAGTCTAAAGCTGAATGTGTCTTTAGACCTGGAGCTGAGGTATCTTTTGACTAAATAGTCTGAAACTGAATGTGTCTTCTGACTGGAGCTGAAGGTATCTTTTGACTAAATAGTCTGAAACTGAATGTGTCTTCTGACTGGAGCTGAAGGTATCTTTTGACTAAATAGTATGAAGCTGTATGTGTCTTCTGACTGGAGTTGAAGATATCTTTTGACTAAATAGTCTGAAGTTGTATGTGTCTTCAGACTGGAGCTTAAGGTATCTTTTGACTAAATAGTCTGAAGTTGTATGTGTCTTCTGACTGAAGCTGAAGGAATCTTTTGACTAAATAGTATGAAGCTGAATGTGTCTTCAGACCTGGAGCTGAAGGTATCTTTTGACTAAATAGTCTGAAGCTGTATGTGTCTTCTGACTGGAGTTGAAGATATCTTTTGACTAAATAGTATGAAGCTGAATGTGTCTTCAGACCTGGAGCTGAAGGTATCTTTTGACTAAATAGTCTGAAGCTGTATGTGTCTTCTGACTGGAGTTGAAGATATCTTTTGACTAAATAGTATGAAGCTGAATGTGTCTTCAGACCTGGAGCTGAAGGTATCTTTTGACTAAATAGTCTGAAGCTGTATGTGTCTTCTGACTGGAGTTGAAGATATCTTTTGACTAAATAGTATGAAGCTGAATGTGTCTTCAGACCTGGAGCTGAAGGTATCTTTTGACTAAATAGTCTGAAGCTGTATGTGTCTTCTGACTGGAGTTGAAGATATCTTTTGACTAAATAGTCTAAAGCTGAATGTGTCTTCAGACCTGGAGCTGAAGGAATCTGTTGACACGATTGTGATTTGTCGGCTCATGAAGCCTATTTATTTGTTGTTTTTGTTTTTCGATTTTTTCATGGAATAAAAACTTTCGTGATTTTAAATTTATTATGAATTGTGCACCATGGGATGATTTTAGTCTTTCCTATTGCCCTTAATCGTGAAAAATGTAAATTGAATATCGAATAATGTTTGACAACTTTTAGAAATAGATACACTGTTCAGTTGTAGGTATGAGGTAGATAAGTGTACACAATTTTAGTGTAGTGGTCCAACATACTGGATTGATCCAGACTGAAGATACAACTCAAGATCTCTTGTTTAACTCGTTGTCCTTCGTGAGATATACAAGGCAGGGTATTGTCATAATTTCAGTTTGTGATAAGAGTATTTCATTTAGGTTAAGATGATTTTTGTAAACAATTACGTTAAATTTAAAAGTGATTTGATCAAGATCGTTTGAGAGATTAAAATCTATTCTAGACTCATTTGTTGAACTTGAATTTCTCCTTTATTGCCATAGATATGTAACTGTGACCTTATGAGAAATTAGTGTTATGCTGATATGGAAGAAGTGTGAGGATTTACATTAAAAATAAATTGGAAAAAAAAAATGAAACACTCCTCGGACATTGTCAATGTCTTTGAAGGGTGAGAGGGGCTGTTTTATCATCTCCAGGTAATGACACAAGAAATGAGTCCTATTTATTGATGATTACTGAATCTTAATGGGGTGGTTTAATGGAATAGTTGCAGTAAAATTGATAGTTCTGCTAATATGTATTAGCTATATATATCATTGTTTGGTATTTTTCCTGATTTAAGAGTGAGCGCTGAACTGTTATAAAGGTTAAGTTTATATTTGTAGTCCGCTGCTGTAACTTACTGAGCAGCTCTGCCTTATGATCCTCTCATTCTAGGCATGTGCGAGTAAACATGTCAATCAGCCTTACCAAGAATGTGTGTAACTCTATTTGGTGAGATGTGTATAACTGTGTATCATTGTGTCTCTGTGACAAAACTTTGGTAGGGTGTGAACGCTTGTTGATACAAATATTCTGTCTATGTCATTGGTCGGTTTATGGGAGCTTACAAATTGGCCGTGAATGTAAAAACTGGATTAATATTGTAGTGAATTAAGTAGTGTTAGGATAACTAAGTGTTTTTAGAGTGTTGAAATATTAGATGATATCAAATTTGGGTTTCTGATCAGATGATATCAAATTTGAGTTTCTGATCAGATGATATCAAATTTGAATTTCTGACCAGATGATATCAAATTTGAATTTCTGACCAGATGATATCAAATTTGAGATTTTGACCAGATGATATGGAATTTGAGTTTCTGACCAGATGATATCAAATTTGAGTTTCTGATCAGATGATATCGAGTTTGAGTTTCTGACCAGATGATATCAAATTTGAGTTTCTGTTCAGATGATATCGAATTTGAGTTTCTGACCAGATCTGGTGTTGAATGTAACTCACAATTTTTGCTTTCAATGAAAGTGAAAAATGTGAGTTACATGAAATTCATGTACATTTTATGTATCTGTGTAACGCTTTGGATCTAAGTAGTTATTAGAGTGATTAATTGGACATATTACCATTAAAAACTGTAAATTTCACCCATTGATCTTATACTTTTTAATACATAGATATATTTTTCTTATTCAAGACTAGACTTTTGAAATAAAATCCACATCCATTAAACATGCAAATGGACAATTGTTTTTGTACTTTCTATAGAGATTTTCTTTTTTATATGCACGTTAACATGTTGTAACATGTTTTTCCAATGTATGTGGCTACCAGAGATGCTAGGTGAGAGACACTCAGTTATCCCCCTTGAATGTTTACAAACGATTATGTGGGATAGATGTTTATGAAGTATTGTGTGGGATAGTCCTATTCTTTGTTTCTAACCTGATCTGTAAATACTTTTAACAAACGATTATGTGGGATAGATGTTTATGAAGTATTGTGTGGGATAGACCTATTCTTTGTTTCTAACCTGATCTGTAAATACTTCTAACAAACCATTTCATTATCAGTGTTATGGCATAATTGATGATTGCATATTTATTTTCTGAAAATATTGGTTTTGAGAGGTAGGTAAAATTTGTATGAGTATAAATGTGTGGATTTCAGGTTTCAGTGTCACATGTGTTATACTTATATTATATAATCAGTAGAGACATATAGGAGCTCAAGTTAATTATTTACTGTAGTGACATATATACTGGACTATATCCAGAAACACATACTGTGTGTCTCTGATGTATCCAATGTTTATAACAGGACTTTGATAGCCAGATTCAAGTGTGTGTAGAAAAATTAATATTATCCATCTTATTAACAAACCTATAAATACAAAAGTTTATAAATTGGTTCCAAGGAGCTTCTTACATGTCAATATCAAGTCTCTTCTTGTTATGAATCAAAATTGAAAATCAAATAAGAAGAGTGTGATGGGCCATCTTATTGAATGTTTGATAAGCATCAAAGTCATATCTTCTTCTTTGCATGCTACAACTAGGGTCTTTATGTGCATGTAGGTGAAATTTTACTGGTGTAACAGGACACAGGATGAGTCTATTTCGATATAGGTGAAACAGGACTCGGGATGAGTCTATTTCGATATAGGTGAAACAGTACACAGGATGAGTCTATTTCGATATAGGTGAAACGGGACTCGGGATGAGTCTATTTCGATATAGGTGAAACGGGACTCGGGATGAGTCTATTTCGATATAGGTGAAACAAGACACAGGATGAGTCTATTTCGATATAGGTGAAACAAGACACAGGATGAGTCTATTTCGATATAGGTGAAACAGGACTCAGGATGAGTCTATTTCGATATAGGTGAAACGGGACTCGGGATGAGTCTATTTCGATATAGGTGAAACAAGACACAGGATGAGTCTATTTCGATATAGGTGAAACAGGACACAGGATGAGTCTATTTCGATATAGGTGAAACAGTGATGAGTCTACTTGTGTAAAGTTAAACAGGTTTTACTTGTGCCCCGGCCAGTAAGATGACTATACTAACTTTCAGTTAATCAAATGACTATATAAATGATGTGGAACATGAAAGGTATTTCACATATATGTTGGCTTAATATTGTAAATTTATTGAAGGTTCAGAACGTCTTCTATATCGGTAAAATAATGTATTGTCAGCCCCTGGTCAGACGTGATAGATAACCAGTATTCAGACTGTTGTTAAGTCCATTCCAATTACTGAAATACATAATGTAATCCCGGGGGTAGTTCCATTACATATGTAAACCCTTTGAGCTAGTCCCGGGAGTAGTTCCAGTTCCAGGGGTAATTCCATTACATATGTAAACCCTCCAAGCTAGTCCCGGGAGTAGTTCCAGTTCCAGGGGTAGTTCCATTACATATGTAAACCCTCTGAGCTAGTCCCGGGAGTAGTTCCAGTTCCAGGGGTAATTCCATTACATATGTACACCCTCCAAGCTAGTCCCGGGAGTAGTTCCCGTTCCAGGGGTAATTCCATTATATATGTAAACCCTCCGAGCTAGGCCCGGGAGTAGTTCCAGTTCCGGGGGTAGTTCCATTACATATCTTAACCCTCCAATCTAGTCCTGGGAGTAGTTCCAGTTCAAGGGGTAGTTCCATTACATATGTAAACCCTCCAAGCTAGTCCCGGGAGTAGTTCCAGTTCCGGGGGTAGTTCCATTACATATCTTAACCCTCCAAGCTAGTCCTGGGAGTAGTTCCAGTTCAAGGGGTAGTTCCATTACATATGTAAACCCTCCAAGCTAGTCCCGGGAGTAGTTCCAGTTCCGGGGGTAGTTCCATTACATATCTTAACCCTCCAATCTAGTCCTGGGAGTAGTTCCAGTTCAAGGGGTAGTTCCAATACATATGTAAACCCTCCGAGCTAGTCCCGGGAGTAGTTCCAGTTCCGGGGGTAGTTCCATTACATATGTAAACCCTCCAAGCTAGTCCCGGGAGTAGTTCCAGTTCCAGGGGTAGTTCCAATACATATGTAAACCCTCCGAGCTAGTCCCGGGAGTAGTTCCAGTTCCGGGGGTAGTTCCAATACATATGTAAACCTTCCAAGCTAGTCCCGGGAGTAGTTCCAGTTCCGGGGGTAGTTCCATTACATGTGTTAACCCTCCGAGCTAGTCCCGGGAGTAGTTCCAGTTCCGGGGTAGGTCCATTACATATGTAAACCCTCCGAGCTAGTACCGGGAATAGTTCCAGTTCCGGGGTAGTTCCATTACATATGTAAACCCTCTGAGCTAGTCTCGGGAGAAGTGCCAGCCAGTTCCGGGGGTAGTTCCAATACGTGTGTAAACCCTCCGAGCTAGTCCCGGGAGTAGTTCCAGTTCCGGGGGTAGTTTCATTACGTGTGTAAACCCTCCGAGCTAGTCCCGGGAGTAGTTCCAGTTCCGGGGGTAGTTCCATTACGTATGTAAACCCTCCGAGCTAGTCCCGGGAATAGTTCCAGTTCCAGGGATAGTTCCAATACATATGTAAACCCTCCGAGCTAGTCCCGGGAATAGTTCCAGTTCCAGGGGTAGTTCCATTACGTATGTAAACCCTCCGATCTAGTCCTGGGAGTAGTTTCATAATGTATGTGCCTTTTACCTGTAACGTGTCATATTTTACCTGGTGAAGCATTTTTGGGCAAATTAAATAGATAAACATTGTAGAAACAATTTGTTTGTTTTCTGTCGCCTTATCTACATGCGTGTTTTCTGTCGCCTTATCTAAATGCGTGTTTTCTGTCGCCTTATCTAAATGCGTGTTTTCTGTCGCTTTATCTAAATGCGTGTTTTCTGTCGCCTTATTTAAATGCGTGTTTTCTGTCGCTTTATCTAAATGCGTGTTTTCTGTCGCCTTATCTAAATGCGTGTTTTCTGTCGCTTTATCTAAATGCGTGTTTTCTGTCGCCTTATTTAAATGCGTGTTTTCTGTCGCTTTATCTAAATGCGTGTTTTCTGTCGCCTTATCTAAATGCGTGTTTTCTGTCGCTTTATCTAAATGCGTGTTTTCTGTCGCCTTATCTAAATGCGTGTTTTCTGTCGCTTTATCTAAATGCGTGTTTTCTGTCGCCTTATCTAAATGCGTGTTTTCTGTCGCCTTATGCGTGAAGTTCAATTCAATACCGTCCAACCCACAGAGGGTCCTTATCGAAGACAACTTACTAGACGCTACAACACGGCAAATTAAGACATTTTCTATATAAGATATCTAGTAAAAAAAATCAGAAACCGCAATCCTCCTCACCATTAACAAAACTATGAACATATGATGAGTATCGAGCCTATATCAAAATGTCTAACTCACACACTTTCATAGTAGCTACAGATCACCGTCAACACTCCTAACAGACACTGGAACATTCATGGACACAAGTGTAAAACAACTATATACATATGTGAAGCCTTCAGCCTATCACACACAGACTTGCCAAATAGCAGCACTATTCCTGGCAAAACAGACACATGCTTACACGAACACCAAACAGATCTATGGAGAACAGATCATATACCTCACCCACACAAACCTACCCTCTCACGACCCCTATACGCAGACCAAAGACCTCACCAACACAAACCGACCCTCCCACGACACCATATACATAGATCCTAGACCTCACCCTCCCAATACACCATATACAGACCCTAGACCTCGCCCACACACACACTCCGACGACACCATATACAGACCCTAGACATCACCCACACAAACCCACCCTCCCACGACACCACATACACAGATCCTAGACATCACCCACACAAACCCACCCTCCCACGGCACCTTATACAGACCCTAGACATCACCCACACAAACCCGTTCCCCCACGACACCATATAGGGCTGCAGAGACTGTAAATGATAGAATGAAGACTGCAGAGATTGTAGATGACAAAAGGAAGGATGTACAGGTTGTAGATAAAGAAGTAAGACTGTAGGTAATAGAATGAAGGCTGGAGAGATTGTAGAGGAAAGAAGGAAGGCTGCAGAGATTGTAGAGTATATAAGGAAGGTTGCAGAGAATGTAGATGACAGAAGGAAGGCTGCAGAGGTTGTAGTTGACAGAAGGAATGTTGCAGAGATTGAAGATGACAGAAGGAAGGCTGCAGAGATTGTTAATGACAGAAAGAAGGCTGCAGAGATTGGTGATGACAGGAGGAAGGCTGCAGAGATTGGTGATGACAGAAGGAAGGCTGCAGAGATTGGTGATGACAGAAGGAAGGCTGCAAAGATTGGTATTTAGAAAAGGAAAGCTGCAGAGATTGGTGATGACAGAAGGAAGGCTGCAGAGATTGGTGAGGACAGAAGGAAGGCTGTAGAGATTGGTGATGACAGAAGGAAGGCTGTAAAGATTGTTGATTATAGAATGAAGGCTGCATAGACTATTAATGACAGAAGGAAGGCTGCAGAGAATGTAGGTAATAGAATGAAGGCTGCAGAGACTGTTATTTATAGAAGGAAGGCTGCAGAGATTGGTGATGACAGAAGGAAGGCTGCAGAGATTGTAGATAAAGAAGGAAGGCTGCAGAGATTGTAGATACAGAAGTAAGGCTGCAAAGACTGTAGGTAAAAGTAGGAAGGCTTCAGCGATTGTAGATAAAGAAGGAAGGCTGCAAAGATTGTTGATTTAAGAAGGAAGGCTGCAGAGATTGAAGATGACACAAGGAAGGCTTCAGAGACTGAAGATGACAGAAGGAAGGCTGCAGAGATTGTAGATGACAGAAGGAAGGCTGTAGAGATTGAAGATAACGGAATGAAGGCTGCAAAGATTGCTGATTATAGAAGGAATGCTGCAGAGATTGAAGATGACAGAAGGAAGGCGACAGAGATTGTAGATGACAGAAAGGAATGCTGCAGAGATTGAAGATGACAGAATTAAAGCTGCATAGATTGTTGATGATAGAAGGAAGGCTGCAAAGATTGTAGATGACAGATGGAATGCTGCAGATATTGAAAATGACGAAATAAAGGCTGCAAAGATTGTAGAAGACAGAAGGAAGGCTGCAGAGATTGTAGAGGACAGAGGGAAGGCTGCAGAGATTGTAGATAAAGAAGGAAGGTTGCAGATATTGTAGATGACAGACGGAAGGCTGCAGAGATTGTAGATAAAGGAGGAAGGCTGCAGAGATTGTTGATGATAGAAGGAAGGCTGCAGAGATTATAGATGACAGAAGGAAGACTGCAGAGATTGTAGATAAAGAAGGAAGGCTGCAGAGATTGTAGATAAAGAAGGAAGGCTGCAGAGATTGTAGATGGCAGAGGGAAGGCTGCAGAGATTGTAGATAAAGAAGGAAGGCTACAGAGATTGTTGATGACAGAAAGAAGGCTGCAGAGAATGTAAGTGATAGAAGGAAGGCTGCAGATATTGTAGATAAAGAAGGAAGGCTGCAGAGATTGTAGATGACGGAATGAAGGCTGCAGGGATTGTTTATAACAGAAGGAAGGCTGCAGAGAATGTAGATAAAGAAGGAAGGCTGCAGAGATTGAAGATGACGGAATGAAGGCTGCAAAGATTGTTGATTTTAGAAGGAAGGCTGCCGAGATTGAAGATGACATAAGGAAGGCTACAGAGATTGAAGATGACGGAACGAAGGCTGCAAAGATTGAAGATGATAGAAGGAAGGCTGCAAAGATTGTAGATGACAAAAGGAATGCTGCAGAGATTGTAGATAAAGAAGGAAGGCTGCAGAGATTGAAGATGACGGAATGAAGGCTGCAAAGATTGTAGATGACAGAAGGAAGGCTGCAGAGATTGTAGATGACAGAGGGAAGGCTGCAGAGATTGTAGATAAAGAAGGAAGGCTGCAGAGAATGTAAGTGATAGAAGGAAGGCTGCAGAGATTGTTTGATAAAGAAGGAAGGCTGCAGAGATTGTAGATGACAGAGGGAAGGCTGCAGAGATCGTAGATAAAGAAGGAAGGCTGCAGAGATTGTAGATAAAGAAGGAAGGCTGCAGAGATTGTAGATGACAGAGGGAAGGCTGCAGAGATCGTAGATAAAGAAGGAAGGCTGCAGAGATTGTAGATAAAGAAGGAAGGCTGCAGAGATTGTAGATGACAGAGGGAAGGCTGCAGAGATCGTAGATAAGGAAGGAAGGCTGCAGAGATTGTAGATAAAGAAGGAAGGCTGCAGATATTGTAGATGACAGAGGGAAGGCAGCAGAGATTGTTGAAAAGGAAGGAAGGCTGCAGAGATTGTAGAGGACAGAGGGAAGGCTGTAGAGATTGTAGATAAAGAAAGAAGGCTGCCGAGATCTTTAGATAAAGAAGGAAGGCTGCAGAGATTGTAGATGACAGAGGGAAGGCTGCAGAGATTGTAGATAAAGAAGGAAGGCTGCAGAGATTGTAGATGACAGAGGGAAGGCTGCAGAGATTGTAGATAAAGAAGGAAGGCTGCAGAGAATGTAAGTGATAGAAGGAAGGCTGCAGAGATTGTTTGATAAAGAAGGAAGGCTGCAGAGATTGTAGATGACAGAGGGAAGGCTGCAGAGATCGTAGATAAAGAAGGAAGGCTGCAGAGATTGTAGATAAAGAAGGAAGGCTGCAGAGATTGTAGATGACAGATGGAAGGCTGCATAGATTGTAGATAAAGGAGAAGGTTGCAGAGATTGTAGAGGACAGAGGGAAGGCTGCAGAGATTGTAGATAAAGAAGGAAGGCTGCAGAGATTTTTAGATAAAGAAGGAGGGCTGCAGGGATTGTAGATGACAGAGGGAAGGCTGCAGAGATTGAAGATAACGGAATGAAGGCTGCAGATATTGTTTATAACAGAAGGAAGGCTGCAGAGATTGTAGAGGATAGAAGGAAGGCTGCAGAGTTTGCAGATAAAGAAGGAAGGCTGCAGAGATTGTAGATAAATAAGGAAGGCTGCAGAGATTGTAGATGACAGATGGAAGGCTGCATAGATTGCTTATGATAGAAAGACGGCTGCAGAGATTGAAGGTGACAGAATGAAGGCTGCAGAGACTGAAGATAACAGAAGGAAGGCTGCAGAGAATATAGATGACAGAAGGAAGGCTACAGAGATTGTTGATTATAGAAAGAAGGCTTCAGAGACTGAAGATGACAGAAGGAAGGCTACAGAGAATGTAGATGACAGAGAGAAGGCTACAGAGATTTAGGTGACAGAAGGAAGGCTGAAGAGACTGTAGATGACAGAAGTTAAGCTGCAGAGATTATAGATGACAGAAGGAAGGCTGCAGAGATTATATATGACAGAAGGAAGGCTGCAGAGATTATAGATGACATAAGGAAGGCCGACGAGACTGTAGATGACAGAAAGTAAGTACAGAGATTTAAGATGGGCGAAGGAAGGCTGCACAGACTTTTAAGGGTAAAACATGTATAAAGAATTACGTGGACATTGGGACACTCCGCTTACTTTTTTGAACATCAGTATTTATAAAGCGATGAATGGAAACTCGCTAATATATATATAATGAAGGAACAAGTGCATCTTGGTGAAGATTGATGTGATATTTTTCTTTTGTCAAACTGGTGGCATACCTTATTATTCGAACATTATTTTCCAAGTTTTAGTTTCCGCTGGCTTTTCTGCGTTTCTTGATAGAGAGTATCAAAAGCATTCATCAAAGTTATTTAACGTCAGGCTATTGAATTATGCTATTCTCGACAAAAAGGAATTTTGGTTTCCTCATTACATGTAAACACACAAATTGATATATACACATTTTTTATTTTTTTTGTATTAATAAAATAATAGATAAAAATGTCTTTGCGTCATTTGTTAAATAAAATACAGCAAAAACTCAGAAGAGCAATTCCTACAGCAGAAAACATTTAAACACTCACTCTTTTATTTGAAACGTTTAATCTTCTAACACAAGTATACGGTTAAATATTGTTAATATTTAAGTATTTCGAGTATCAACAATATTAAAGTTAGGGATATGACCTCGGGAAACTCGATCAGAAGAAATTAACAAAACTATACTTTTCCGAATGATTCGGAATGTAATGGCAGGTCATTCTTTAATAGATAAAAAATGATAACAGCAGATGAAATGGAAATTATTACATAAAGCTTGTTTGTCGTGTATGATTCAATATATTTCATTTATTAATTTCCTATAAGCATTAGTGTATGGTCTAAGGGAAGTAATTTGTCCTATCTACGAGGAGTTATCTTCCTTTACAAACTACGAAACAAGGCCTCAATATTGGTGAATAGTACAGCATCGAATCGCGTTGTACGCATGCGCACTTGCCTATTTTGCCTTCAACCACGAAAAATGGCGCTTATCCGTAGGTTGCATCGATAGCGGTGGAAAATAAACTGCTTATGTGGGAAGAGTTCAGGTATGATATATGTATTGACCGGTTAATTTTAGTAGGAAATATATATGGTGTCAGAAAAGCTGTCGAATATCATGTTGGTTTGTTGTGATAACATATACCGGACAATGTTGTTGTAAAACCTGAATCTATCGGAAGTATAAACAAACGCATTTTGTTGTCGGTTTGTGAGTTTGTGTACGAATATTGTAGTAACATATTCACGGCCCTTGTTAAATTGTATAGTGCATTGTGTTTGACATACGTTAGCTATTATAAAATAATAATGATTTGTCCTAGTTAATGGCGGGTCTTGTCGACAAATATTTACTGGGAATCTATTGTTTGTTCCCGAAATGCCGCATGTGTTCGCATTCGTCAGTACGCATATCGGTTTGGTTGTTCTGGAAAACACATTCGTCGCTACAGATGTGTGCTAATGGTTTTAATTTTCCTCGGTTTCAGTTTCTGTGGAATCCATTATGGCGAGCAAATATGCAGTCAAAACCTATAGCCGATCCTATGGTAGGGAGACTGCTGCTAGCAAGGCCTTTGATGAAATAGTGACCAACAAGTCTGGAGCTCAGAACATGCCAATTAAAACAGCAAACACAAAATGGGGTAAAACACAATTCAGTAGAGTCAGAGATGAGGATCCTTTTCAAACCACGTGTAAGAAAGTTAAGTCAGAGGTTGAGACCGAGGATCCATTCTCTTTTGGATCTGATGAAAGTGAAACTGCAAGACAGAAAATGGTCAAAGAAGAACCCCCTACTAGCTCACACGCCGCAGGTTTGGGACGACCAGCTATCCCTAATATGAAGGTCATCAAATCACATTCTTACACACCTGAAAAAAATAAGAACGAACCAGAGGCACGAAATCTTGATAGTCAACCTACATTTAAGAGACCAGTAAGGACCTATTCTCGTGCTGCTAAAAAACAGAATGTTGACAATACAAAACAGTTATCAATAGACCAGTTTGCAAAACCAGTCTCTAATGATGAAGATGATGACATGCCAGTACTTGAGCCGGAGGGTTCTGCCGCTGCAGATCCATATGCATCACATTCCAGTAGTTATGCAGTCATTGAATCTTCAGATGACTCTGAGGAAAAGCCAGACCCTTACTCACAGTATGATGAAGACGAAGAGGAAGAAGGGGCTCCCCATCTGTTGAATGAGCAACGTCTCACTTATAGCAGGCATTCAAAGATGGCTGCATTTTCTGGAATTGTTTCTAGCTCCCCTAAAACACATCTGCTACAATCTGATGATGAAGAGAATCCAAAGGCAACTGTTCTGAACTTCCGAAGCCATTTTATGGACCCAGCAGTTTACAGTAGATTTAATTATGTTCCACGTCCAGAGGACCCAGTAGGAAGACTTAACAACAGTAAAGTTCTTCAAAAAAGTGAAATAAAACATGGTAAAGGATCAACACTTATTGTGATCTGCTCCCCTAAGCCACCAACGGGTGAAAGTAAGACAAAACTTTACCACCAGAAAACAGTCAGAGAGCCTTACTCACGAGATAATGCTGAAACAACTGCAGATGATTTGCAGAATAGTGGTAATGACTCTCAAGAACTTTGTAAGGTGGAAGAATCTGGAACCGATACTTCAAACTTTGAGTTTTCAGAAGAAAGTAGTGCTTCTACTCCAAGCTTGGAGGAACACACCTCTGCCACAAATGAAAATGACAACCCAGTTAAAATACAGTACTCGTCCAGGAAAGGTGTTAAACGGGGACGAGATACTTCTGACAAATCAGTTAGGTATAATAAATTCTTCAGGTCAAGAAATTCAGCAGCAATGAATGAAGAAAATGATTCCAAGAAAATCAGTTCTAGTCCAGAGGAGCAGCAGACAGGGCTTGATGACAATAATCAGGAAAATGACCATGAGCAAAACACTGCTCCCAAAGAACATCCAGTTCATGTCAAGGCCAATAAAAAGAAGCAGGACATTTCAACATCATTTGGTTTTGATGAAGATGGAGAATCCCAACCGAGTCTAGAAAGTTCAGAGAAGTCTGAAGGTGATCCTTCAGCTCCTCAGTCCATGGAAGTTGGTGAGGATGCTGAGCAGACCATGCAACAGAGTGAGGGCAGTCAGTCGGAGGAGGAAGAGATGGACAGCTCTCAGAACACACAAGAACTCAGTCAGACATCAGCTGATTCGCAGGAGGCAGAACCTCCCAAACTGACCAAGGCCAAGACAGTTCGTGTCAGAGAAAAGAAAATCTTCAAATCCAAAAACAAAGGAGATGTGCAAAAGAAAATGTTGCAAAGTCCCAAAAAGGTATTACAAAGTTTTTTTATTGTGTTATGATTAGGGATAATGCTAGTCTTTCAAAATGGTGTTTCATATAGTTAGGTTTTGCACAATTTTTTCCACATGTGAATACGAGACAAAATTGTAAAAAAAAAAGGGGGGGGGGCTCTTGCATATTTTTGTTGATTAGATACACCAATGAGGTTAAAACGACCACTAATTATATTCAGTAATGAGAATAAATTTAAGATGAGAACAACTTCTTGCAGTAACTGTTGATTTTGTCTATTTATTTCAGTCTCCATCGAAGGCCGTGTACAATGTCCGTTCCTGGCAAGAAGACTTTGATGAAGAGGAAAGGGTAACATTTATCAAAAATGTGCATAGTGCTTCTTTTATTTTGCTTTATTTGCTTAGTTTTTAAAGTTATCAGTCTTCAATATCGAAATTTGTGGGTTTTTTAAACCAGTGTTATTTTAATCTTGGAAGCAAAATTTTATCTTTTATTTCACCTTAATTTTGATAATTTCTTCTTACAAAATATCATCTCGTATTGCCTTTCTCACATAACCCAGTAAGTTAGTTCAATCATGTAGATATCTATTAGCTTTTTCCAGGAAGCTTTGTTATATATATTATTTTCTAGTACAGTGAAACCCCACCTCCTCGAACTTGGTTAACTCTAATACCCCTCATTAGTCGAACAGTTTGTTAGGTCCCGACCAGTTAGTACATATTCTTTGTAAAGTAACTTCGGAAAAGTCGAACCATATTCCTTGAACAAAAATTTGTCCCCGACTCTTCATGGTCATAGTATTACTCCTAACTATTCATTGACTAGTTGTGACCTGTCACGTCTGACACGATATTTTACCTGTGTATCACATCGGTACTGCTGTCAACATGTCCCGAGGCGCAGGCTGCGGTCCCCGCTAAATTAGAGGATTAACAGCAGTATCATTAAGTAACTGTACCGTTACCCTGTTGTAACTACATAATCAGTCTGTGTGCATATTTATTTTTTCCAGACAATGTTTTTGCAGAAGTGGTAATTCACTGGGTGTGTAAAACCATGTCGGCATGGAAATATTAAGCAGAAATCACATAGATGATTCTTGACCAACTTAAAAGATATTCAAACTTGAATACGTCAATAATTTTGATGTCGTCATCAATCAACATTATGATATCAAGGATTCAAGATTTAATTCATTTTAAAATGATCGAAAATTTCTTCTCGTTTTGATATTTTGTAAAATTAACGTAGGCGATTACAGTATGGCGGACTATGTCAAAACGACAAGTACATTGCACATGCAGATTTTTTATTTTATTTACTTTCTTAATACCGGTGGCTTTATGTTTTCATTGTTAAGCTATTTCAAATCTTATTCAACGCTTTCATCTTGATTAAACTTTTATTTTTTCTTCTATCATCTACTATCTGCGATATTTGCAGTGCTTGTATTGTCTGTTGTCCCACCTGACCAAAAAATGACGATGTTGGTTGAACCTCGGTTCGTCGAATACCATGTATTCTTTGAACTATTGATTTCGACCCTACAAGTTCGAGTTAGCTGGGTTTTACTGTATATAAACCTTGTTAAATGGGAATCGTGAGCTCATTTTCTATGGAAATTGATATTAAAATTTTCTCAAATAAATGCTTGTGGCCTAGCCTGTTGTACTAGTAGTTGCATGTTGAATGAAACCTATTACTTCCTTATTTTAATATTTTTGTATTGATATGTGTGTTGCATTAATATGAACATTCCTTTATTTTGTTTCAATATTTTAAAAGAAACAGTGTACCAATAATAAAATATGTATATTATAGATTCTATGTGATGCTTTTAACTTGAAAAAGTTCAACTTTTTCCTACCTCATTAACCAAAATACAAGTTAACAGGACAAATCTTGCACAAAGATTTATGTAGGGAAATCATACTTGATATTCAAGTATATCATTCATATGGTCAAGGAGTTTGTCACTTACAAAAATGGGTCACAGCAACCTATATTTTGTATAGAATTTTTTGAAAATGTAGGGGTGCAGGGTATCTTTAAAGTTTTAAATCACATTAGATTGTTAACAAATATCAAATAAGAGCAAGGCTTCATTAATAGACAGAGTATGTTGTAACAGGATGTTAACCTGTACAATGAATCCTTAACTCACATCATCAAGATTACGACAACAGGAAGCCCATGACCGATGAATTATTTATTTATTGGAAATGTTTACTTACAGAACAAGAATAAGGATGATGCATCTGGGCCACCCAAGCTTGTGCCAATCCCTAAAATGGCCCCCAAGTTTGAAGAGCCAGGAGAGCGCCCAAATGAGCCTCCCAAGTTGTCAAGGGCAGTGCACTGGCCGGACAGGCTAGGGGATGAAGCGTATACCTCTGTACACGTCTCCAAAGAACACAAGGAGGTACAGGGGGCTTACAGCTGTGTATTGTCCTTTAAGGGTCTACTAAATACAGCATTAGCATGTCAAATTGATGCTGAAATATTTTTTCGCAAGATTTTTATTGCCAATGCCGAAGCTTGAAAGGATTTGATAAACTGACTTTTTGAACAACATATTTTTACATGGTTTGAATGAGCCATTATGTCCTCACATGGCAGACAATATCCTGTATTTTTGTTATTTGTCTATTTTTCATTCATTCAAAATATAAAGGCAACAACAGTGTGGTATGAAAAAGTGTCTGGGTGACTATCAACAGATAGAAATGGAACATGTTTAAGATTATATGTAAATAATGATATGTTTAAGATTATATGTAAATAATGATACTAAGTAATATTCCTCTTGTTACAGTTGTTCACAGTGGTAAAGAATGTGAAGCAGGCTCACGAGTGTCAGGAATATGGGGAGACTCAGGAGTTCTCCGACGACGTCGAGTACCTACTGGCTGGACTCCAGGAAGGACAACCCATGTCCACACGCTGCCTTAGGTACTGCTTTTGAATTATCAACTATTAAACAGCTTGGTAGATTTACTGTAAAATAATATTCACAGTTTTTACAACTACAGTATTCACTATGTTGTGGTTTTATGCATGATTCTTCAATAAAATCAGGGATCGACACTAATACTAGTCCTGGACTAGTAGATTTCAGACAGGACAAGTGAATCATCTAACCTAACTGGTCCTTTGGACTTGTGAAAAAGATGATTATAAACTAAGAATATTCCTTTGTAAAACTGCTTCAAATACGATATATTGCATGATAATTGTCAAAATTCTTCCTTGTCAAGAAATCTGGGACTAGTTAGTTTGACAAAGGACTAGTAAATTATCTATTCAACTAGTCCTGTGGACTACCAAGCAAAACAAGTTAATGTCTAACCCTGATAATTCATTCATGTTGTGAAGGTTATGTTTTCTGGTGCTTGTACACAAATAAGAAAGATTTGGAACTTAAAGTAGAGTTGTGTATGTTTGTGCACTGCTATATAGGACTTGTCCAGTATATAAATAAGAAAGAAGATTTTGTACTTAAAGGAGTATTGTTTGTTTGATTACAGCTGTACAGGACTTGCCCAGAAATGTATTTTACCTGCATTCAGGATGCATTTGAGAGCCCATGGTACGGTAGCCAAGATCTTCTGTTCCCTCCAAGATGCCTGCACTGATCCTGTGAGTCTACAGAGCGGACTTTTAATAACTTTTTAGCTCATCTGTACCCGAGGACCTATGAATTTATGCAGTTCAACGTCATCTGTCAGTCTGTTAACTTTCCTTAAAAACACTAAAGATCCATAGCACCTGGGCAAATTTTGACTAAATCGGGGTCATGATTGGGCCAAGGGGACTTGATATTGTATAGACAGAGAGTGTGGTCCTGTTCCCCTTAGGGCAGAGGGAAGGGCCTGGTCAGGGTACTAACAATCCTTCGGCGTCTGTATAAATGAAGGGATTTTTACCAAATTATTAAAGGGGCTGACAATTCAAGTGCAGTGAAACCCCACTTACTCAAACTTGAATTACCCCTGTTCCTCGAAAAGTTTGCTTTGGCCTGAACGTAATCTTATATATTCTTTGTAAACTAACCTTGGATTATTCGAACTGCCACTGCTCGAATACCCTGTGTTCCTCAAACTCTGATTTATCCCCGACCACTCAAAACCTTAGTATTTAACCTATCCATTCGTCCAACAGGTAGTCACCCATCTGTATCGAAAATAAGGTAAGCCATTGACATGCCTCGAGGCACAGGTTGCGTTCCACGCTTATTGTGTTTATACAGGTGTCGGCCAAACATCAGATATTTAGAGGATAAACAGCATTATCATCCAATTTCTTGTCTAGCTTAGGTAAAAAGTAGGAATAGATTGGTGCTTCCAGACAGTTTGTCTTGTTCACTTTCAGTTATCATGTTCTGTTTCTCTTGCAGAGTCTCGCCCTATGCACAGCTCTGTTGATGTTTATGCTAAGTCGTGATCGTCTGAACATGGATCTGGATGGAGAGAGTCTGGACCTGATGCTCAAGTTGTTGGGTGTTGATAACCAAGAGCAGCTCAGTGCCACTATAACAGCCTCAGGGAAGCGTGCACTCAATCGTAACCGTGACCGTGTCGGCGCAGTGTACGAGCAGCTACAGCAGGAGTGCGGTACTAAACTGCCAGACCTGGAGAGTATCTCTGTAAGTGGAACTTACAGCCATGCCCTAGGAAACTGTACAGTTGGTGTAAGATCGGTAGATCTTCTATTAACTAAAAGATATGATAAAGTATTCATCATAAAAATCACTTCGAGGATTCCTTAATATAGTAGAAACTGACATCATGTGCATGTAATTACATTATAATTACACTACAAACACATAACATAATTATACTTAAAACACCCATCAAACACATAACATGATTATACTTAAAACACCCATCAAACACATAACATAATTATACTTCAAACACCCATCAAACACATAATTATACTTAAAACACCCATCAAACACATAACATAATTATACTTCAAACACCCATCAAACACATAATTATACTTAAAACACCCATCAAACACATAACATAATTATACTTCAAACACCCATCAAACACATAATTATACTTAAAACACCCATCAAACACATAACATAATTATACTTCAAACACCCATCAAACACATAATTATACTTAAAACACCCATCAAACACATAACATAATTATACTTCAAACACCCATCAAACACATAATTATACTTAAAACACCCATCAAACACATAACATAATTATACTTCAAACACCCATCAAACACATAATTATACTTAAAACACCCATCAAACACATAACATAATTATACTTCAAACACCCATCAAACACATAATTATACTTAAAACACCCATCAAACACATAACATAATTATACTTCAAACACCCATCAAACACATAATTATACTTAAAACACCCATCAAACACATAACATAATTATACTTCAAACACCCATCAAACACATAACTATACTTCAAACACCCATCAAACACATAACATAATTATACTTCAAACACCCATCAAACACATAACATAATTAAACTTAAAACACCCATCAAACACATAACATAATTATACTTCAAACACCCATCAAACACATAACATATTTATGCTTCAAACACCCATCAAACACATAACATAATTATACTTCAACAAAAAATGAAGAAAGATTGAGTAATATCTTCCCAATTTCAATCAATATAATGATACATTTTCTAAATCCATGTAGGAACAGGCAGTTGTAAAGTTTAGGTCGGGAAAACATGGTATGTCATGTGATCAGAAATCAGATTAGACAGAATGTGTATATCGTTTCATTTACAATTGTATTTACACAGCCTTAAGATTTATACATCTAAGAGGTTGTTTCAGAATTAAGTTAGGAATTAACACCTGCATCTACGACAATGTTTATTGCAATTTTACACTACCAAACACTTCACCATTACCTAACCATAAAAAATGCCATGCACTCAAAGCCATTAATAAACAATTATTGTTACACCTCAAGTGAATTTCTAGCTATTTGATTGGTTGGGAGAAAATTAAACAAAAATCTCTGTCACACTCCGAAAATACATTGGTTTTAAGGGGCGCGGGTTAGTGATATTGCCAAGAGACAGTGAAAAATATCACATGCGCGAAAAATGTGCGTTCACCGCTTCGTTTCCCCACCGTGATGGTCACAAGAATGTTTGACTGCAACAGATAATTTTATGAAGCGCCGGTGCGATAGCGATTGTTAACAGCAGATTATCAACAAACAAGATGTCATTATCGAGGTTTGCTGCCGTTTCTGAGCTACAAAGACTTTTGGTGTAACAAAATAGATATGACATTCATTAGCAGGCAACAGTGAATATTGTCAACCCTCAAAAAACCATTGTCACCCGAGGTGATGGTTTTCTCGGGTTGACAATATTCACTGTCACCTGCTAATGAATGTCATATTTATATAATGTCCACCATTAAAATGTCATGAGAATGTGCAATATTAAGGGTGTGATTAATGGAGAACTAATAAAAATGAATTAATGGGCATCAAATAGGCATATTAATGGCCATGATTTTATGTGCTTGGTTATGTGATGGTCTTTAATGTTTAAAAAAACCTGTTAATGGTCATCAAATAACCTTTAAATGGCACAATGTTAATTCCCATTAATGCTTTACTGAATTTAATGGGCAAAGTTAATGGGAAGCTTAAAAAAACCAAACAGATTATGTTGTCATGATATTCAGAATTGGCTTATGATGCCAGGATAAGGGTAAACTGTATGTGATTTAAAGCTTTGACTTGTTATTGATGTGAATGACTTGTTTTCTAGACTGGTAACCTGGCCATGGAGTCCCTGTTGAGCCTAACATCAAGAAGGGCTGGTGAATGGTTTAAAGAGGAGCTTCGGACACTTGGTGCTTTGGATCATATTGTAGATACAGGTAGTAGATTAATGAATAACAAGTGGAAGTACAGAAAACTGTACCTCATTCTATTAGAAGTGTATTGTTCTTATTGGATATTTGTAAATACATTAAAATAATGTATCTAAAACCGACACAGTACAATTAATTACCCAATCATACATTATTCCCTTAATTCCGTTCAGGACACCAGGCTTCCTCAATCATCATCCATTTGAGTTTGTTCCCCACTACATTCTGTAGATTTAGCTTCCCCAGTCTGGCGAAGACAGTCTTGTGCCAGGTGGTCTTAGGCTACCCAGGTTTCTGTCTCCCAGGTAATGTCTATCGGTTGTTACCTTCGGGATGCATTTCTGATCTATCCTAAAAAAATCAGTTGAGCCTTTGCTATTTGGTTTCGACCACAATGTCAAATGTTTGTTAGTCTATTTAGTTCTTTATCAGATAGGAGTTTTGGGCTAGAAGATGAAACAGATCCTCTGGCGACATTTGTTGTGAACAGATTCTTTTTTCATCATGTCCACTTTAGAGACATGCCAGTGTTGTAATCATACAGCAGGACTCATTTTACATTACTATTGTAAAACCTTGGTCTCCAGACTGTACTGGTTGGATTTCGTGTTGGTCTAAGTCAGATTATGGGGCTGATCAGTTTTTGCTTTAATGCCATTTTATTCCCCATTGTCTATGCTGATCACACTTCCAAATTAATTGAAGTCCTTCACAACTTTACATTACTTTGGTATTGGCTTTGTCAATGTCAAACCAGTCTTATAAACATTATAACAGTCAATTCTGTTGAAATAAGGATGATTAGTTAAAAGAGCTTCCTCATTTGAGGCCCCTTAATTTGTTGACATTAGTTTGTCCCAGGATCGAATTGTTGGTCACCAGGAATGGGATGGTATAAATGATACAACCTTCTCCAATCAAAGTCTTCCTGTGTGTTGCTTGATCAAACTGCATTCATCTTGGTTATGGCTTTATTATGGTGACAGTATTCTATGGGACTCCATGTGAAGGTTATGGCTTTATTATGGTGACAGTATTCTATGGGACTCCATGTGAAGGTTATGGCTTTATTATGGTGACAGTATTCTATGGGACTCCATGTGAAGGTTATGGCTTTATTATGGTGACAGTATTCTATGGGACTCCATGTGAAGGTTATGGCTTTATTATGGTGACAGTATTCTATGGGACTCCATGTGAAGGTTATGGCTTTATTATGGTGACAGTATTCTATGGGACTCCATGTGAAAGTAGTGTACTCCATAGTTTGTCGTGATGCTCACTGTCAAAAGCTTTTAAAAGGTCAATAAAGCTATTAGAGAAGGGAACTTGCCATTTCAGGTACTGTGTGATTGTATTTCTCAATGACAATATTGAGTAGATCTATCCTCTCCCTTCTCTGTTTTTGCCCCTTCCCCCAGGTAACATGTTCTCTGCCGATGACGACTTCGGGATATATAGAGGATTTATGGCACTACATTTGTCACCAATCTGCAGAACACCAGTTTTCATGAATAACTTTACAATGAGGCCTTTCATCTTCTCTCAGACAATAGTGTTATTTGTCTAGGAAGACTTGAGGGAGTCGGCAAGACATTAAGATGTTGTGTTGAAGCCAGTCTTCAATCTGTGTGGATTGAATCGGGACAAAGGGACCAGAAGGTTTATGTTGTTGTCTTTATCCTTGACATTAGAAAAGGGAAGAGTGTTTTCACTTGATGACAACTCATCAGCTCCCTCTGTGTGCTACTCTCCTTCTGTGGCCAGACCCTGTACATATCCCATTTTGTTCCTCCTGGCACTCCTCTTCTGTCTTTGGTCAAACATATATCTTTCTATTGGAATTGGTTGCTGCTACAAGATGGTTTTCATTGTTGAGTTCTTGTAGACACTGACATTGAGTGGTCACTCCATTGATGATCACATTTAGGTCATGTTTTCTGATATTTCCCAGCACTTAAATTATTTGAAATATTGCTGTATTTAGGTCCCTGGGTTCAGCCGTTGTAATACTCTTGCAGAAAGAGATACAATCACCATTCCGTAATATTTTATACATACACACATACAAGGATTCCCCCACATACTGACTACTACTGTATCATACATACTAGTAGTCCCTGTCCTAAATATTGATCACCGTTCGTACTTCAGAATGACCATAGCTCTCAGGTACCCACTGATCAAAATCATATCATGTTGAGAACAGAATGAATCATACTGTAGCTGATCATACCAAAACAGTTCAGTGTTTAAGTTTCCAAATGTTTATATATTGTCAATCAGGTACATTTCATTTGGCAGGTTATCTGTATTGAACTATTTGATGCTGTCCTACAAATAATTATTATCCTTTTTAGGTCACACGAGCTTTGCTCAAGTGACCTATTCTAATCACTTTCCGTCCGTCGTGCATAAACTTTTTACATTTTCAACTTCTTCTCAAGAACCAGTGGATGGATTTTTTTCAAACTTGGTCAGAATCATCCTTGGTAGATGAGGCTACAAAATTGTAAGTTTGGGATTCCCACCCCAACCCCTGGGGCCAGGGCGGGGCCCGAAAGGGAAAATTAACCATTTTTTCAAAAATCTTCTTCTCCAGACTCAGAGGTACTACAGTCATTTTCTCTGCATGGAAAGAAAGATCATCAGGGGCTTTACTTAAATTATTAATTTCAGCCCCGAGCTAGCCGTTCTCCCTTGGGGAGGGGATAAAGTTTACTATAATTTATATAGGGAAATAACACTTTTGGGTATATTTGGACAACTTTCTGTAGGAAATTATTTTTACTTGGTGAGAATTATCCTTGGAGAAAGATGGTTTCAAATTGAAAAATTGAGGTTCCTACCACAACTCCTGGGGCCAGGGCTGGGCCCCAAAGGGAAAATTAACCAATTTTTCAAAAATCTTCTTCTCCAGACTCAGAGGTACTACAGTCATTTTCTCTGCATGGAAAGAAAGATCATCAGGGGCTTTACTTAAATTATTAATTTCAGCCCCGAGCTAGCCGTTCTCCCTTGGGGAGGGGATAAAGTTTACTATAATTTATATAGGGAAATAACACTT